CAAAAAGCTGCCAGTGGACAATACTTTCTGAAAAAAGTTTTAACCTACAGCCATGTATTGCCTTCTTATTTTTTCTTCCCATTTATTCTCTTTCAGATTCTTCTGTCTTCTCTGCTTCTGCTCATTTTTGGGTTTCAGTCCAGTGCCTTGACTTTCTATCACCCTTTTTTCCTTCCAGTACATTTCCGTGTTACTTATTTAATTTCTACTATAATCTCTTAATGCCCTGTTATGCTCCAAAGCTCTTTGTCAGAAATCACTTCCAATCAGTTTATGTGTAAAAAAATTTCTCAAGCAACTGTTTAAAAATTAATCTTCACAGGTATTGCTTTTGTTAGCTGAAGAATATAAATTTATTTACAATTAATATTTGTCATACAGGAAGTGTCTGATGAAATGCAATGTAAAGTACTGTTTTTAGTAATGCCATTTTGTATTTAGCTTCACAGGGTTTCTTCATTTCTTCTTTGGTTTCTAAGGTGTGTAGGACACTTGGGTATACATGAATAAGTAGCTTGATAATGACTGTGAATTGTATCAGCTGTTGAAGTTAATGATGTCCTGGAGATGATGATATACATGTGTGTCTACTGTGCTCAGTTTAAAATGAAGTTAGAAGATTTTAAAAATGTAAGTAAACTTGTAGTTTTCTTTTAAATACAAATTTACTAACAATATTCCATGGTAGTTGTATGGTATACATGGTTTTGACAAAGGAATATTCTGTATAAGGGCAGGTAACTTTGCTTGTTTTAAGATCATGTCAGAATTATGCCAAAAGAGAGGTTATGTGACAGTACCATCTGGATTTTATTTAATACTTGTCAAGTGAATTCAGCTGATTATTCAATGTGAAGTGCTCATTCTTTTCCTACATTACAAGTACAAATAGATGCTGTTTCTTTTGCTACAAACATATTTACGATTTGTACATATTTGCCTGTTTTTAATAATTTTGAATATTATTCTTCATATGATGTTGATGTTTAAGATCCTCTGTGAGTACTAAAACTTCCAGCTATTTCGTTAATATGTTTTAAATGGTTGCTTTTATTTGAAGTTGTTTGTAATAACAAGAATAATTTTAATTTTTGAAACATAAATTTATCCCTATTTTTAGCAAAATAACTAGAAAGGAATGAAACAGGAGGGGGGTGGGGGAGTTTGTCTAGTTGCACAGAAAAGCAAGTATGCAGCTTGCCATCTTCTGCATTGCCACTGAGGAGGACTGTGTTAATGAATTCATAATTGTTTCAGCTATTGAAATTATTTTTATGTTAAATGAGATGTTTGGATGATTTTGTATGACTGATTGAAAAGGATCTAAGAAGATCAGATTTCACTGCACTATCCATGCAATCCTTTGAAGAAACAAAGGAAAACCACGTGTGTTTATATAAAACCTCTCTGGCCATCCGAGGATTTATCCTTATTTCATATTTGAAGTGGGAAGTATATTTCTATTTCTATAGTAGTTCATGATCCATTAATTAAATAAATAATACTTTATGAACAAAACAAAAATGTTGCTTCTTACAAGAACATTTTTGAAAGAACAATTGGTTATTTATATACATTTTATTTGTATTTGAAACAAATTACTGTAGTATGCCATAATAATTTCAGTCTTTATTCATTTTTAAATGAGATTTAGTATAATTCTTTTTCACTTTTTGTGACTAAGAAGTAATGAAATGTGCTTCATGTCTGAACAAACCTGCTTGTTGCTTCGTCTTGTGAAAATAATGGAGCTAGAGCCATGTAATTTCTGTCGGACTGGAATCTATGTAAGTTTCCATACAGATGCCTTAAATAATTGCATTGATTTCAGTGGGCCTGTCACTTCAATCTTCATCAACGTAGCTTAAAGTCTTGCTAGCAAAGATGTAGTATGGGGCTTCAAATTGTCTTTTCCTGGTTAGTAAATGTTAAATGCAATATTGTGGTCAAGTGATTTGAAATAAATTTGTTCTCAGAATTTAAAAAAAATCAAGAAAAGTTCAATGAATGGGAACGTACTTGAAGCAGTTCAAATGTTGATATATATAAACAGTCTCATTGGGGGACTTTAATGTTTATTAAAATACTCTACAAATTTTTGTCAGACTTTGTGTCATTGAGGCATCTCTTAGAGAAATAATAGTTAACGGAGCATATGAATTGGAACTGTTTGACTTGAATACTGGGATTTGCGTAATCGGCTTCACTCAAGTTTTCACGCGCATTAAGGGGACTGTAAGTCTCTCAGATTGTATTGACGCAAAAATAATGTAGATCCGGTCATGTATATCATTTTCGTACTCGGTTTTGAGTCTGGTGCGAGTTATCTTTTCGTCCCTTGCAAGGTTTTAGCCTCTCACACATGTTCCAAAGATACGCAATTGTTCAGACCGTCTTATTCGTGACCTTACTAAACCTCTCTTTGCTTAAGGTCTGTAGTTGACTTCTTGGCAACGTTTAGTCCGGCATACTGTGAACCTGGTACAGATTTACATAAGTCATTAAATTTCGTACGTTTCTGACAAATACATAGGTACAGTACTGGGTTAAAGTATATCCTTTTTATGACCTTTATATGTGGTTCCTGTATTTGGTCTGAAAATTGCCTGGATTTTGTTTTTATTTTTGTTCTAATATTTTTTTTTGCTCGGTTCATTCATGTGTGTTTTGCGGTTTTATCACGAATCTTATTTCGACAGTTCTGATTCATCTTTTATATTTTTCCTTCATCTTCTAAACCTGGCTACATTTTGAAAGTTCTGAAAGAGATGGTATATTAAACTTTTACTGGTGGTGCATCACAGCTTATGTGCAGTCCAGCCGGTACCATGCGTCACGGTAGCATACCGTTAACCCTGGACTTAAAGTCTGGCCGTCGGCCCCATACTACTCGGATTTAAATCTACTGTACTGCGGTAAAGGTTAATGAAGTTTAAAACTAAAATATTCAAGAAGTTTTCATGGTATAAAAAGTTGTTTTTGATACCTACAAACGATATCTTAGAAGTTTTATATTTTAAGAGGCTATGAATGTACAACTTTATATTGACTGCAGATTTACTTATTTTTATTTCTCCAAATTTGATGGACTTTGGTTCATCTCTCAAAATTAATTGTTCCATATTTGCAGATACATTTATTTAACTTCTGAGACGATAGCAACGTATAAAATGCCTCACAATTTGCCTACAGATTGTACCACTGTCTTGTTAAATTTATA